GCCCAACCTTCCTTCTGAGGAGTGGCTGGTGGGTTTGAACCGCCAGCCTTCTGGTTAGCAGTCAAGTGCCTTAGGCACTATGCTACCAGAGCTCCTTTTATTTATATAATGGTGTTTATATGTAATTCTTCAGGAATTCATCTGTGCAAAAGCAAGACTCAAAGAAAAACTCTAGGAAAAAACTTACTGGCAAAAATAATCTCTGGGAAGCACATGGTTTAAAGAGTTTTTTCCACTCCGCTGCATTCTCACTTGGAAAGGTTACTGGGTATAATGTATAATTAAATGTTTGTAGAAATAACCAGCTATCAAGCTAGAAAATATAAAAAACAAAACAAGAATGAGGTTTAGATTTATTTCACTTTCAATTTTCTAATAAAACAAAGATCACAAAATGAAAAATTAAGATATATATTTTATATTCTACACAGTTAAGAGACATCAGATTGTCCTTTCTCACCATTTTCTTTGTATTTATTCACAGTCTTGAAATCATAGTAATATGCCAGAAGACTCTCCATCATTAAGAACTGAAGTAAAACGAAAGTTACCAAGATATCAATCACGAAATCAGAAAGCTGAAAGAATCTTGAAATTGCTCATCTACCTCAACTTTACCTAATGTATATGTTCTCTCAATTTCTAAAGAAATTAAAATCAGAGAAGTTAAGCACTAATTTCATTACCATAATATATTTAATATAATGAAAAATGTTTACATTCAAAATTTAGACCATGTGAAACTGGCTGAAAAATACTTGTTCACCTATATACAGTTTTAGTATGTATGGATATTCCAGAAAATAAAATATTCTGACAAATACATATTCAATGCCACTTTTTAAATATCATTTAAAAAGGAAAATCTGAAATCTAGAATGAACACATTTACTCTACTTAATATTCTGAAAACATTTTAACACACTGAATTGTTTCAAATTCACTTTTATCAAATTTAATTAAATTCATTTTTATCATTGTTGCTTCAATAGAAATGATGATTCAAATTCCCTAAAGAAACAACTAATGGAGGCAGAGAGGACTAAGTAGTTTATGTAACAGGCTGAAGATGTTCTCTTTTTCAATTATGGCTGTGTTGAAGTAATTTTTCAAAATATTAAATAAAGCCTTCCAACATAATTTAAAGGACTGCTTATACTTCCAACAGATGTTTTTATGTTAATTACAGTTGACTCTTGAACTAAGCAAGGGCTGGGGCACCAATATCTCATGTAATCGAAAATCCATGTGTAACTTTTAACTCCCCAAAAACTAACTACTAATAGCCTACTGCTGACCAGAAGCCTTACCAATAACATAAACAGTCCTGGTCATAAACCTGACTGTATTTGCAGAAAACAGTAGAGTTAGCCATGAGTCGGGGCCGACTCGATGGCACATAACAACAACAACAACAACAAATCCTTTCCTGTCTTA